TCTGTAAATGCCAATTGCCTGTTCCTGGGTACAAAGCATCAGAGAGTTTTGCCATTCTATTCCACACCATCAAGTTCTCTGTGAAGGATGCTCTTTGAAATTGGCATTCAATGCCTCTAGATCTAAGCAAATTGATTCTCTCCCTGTCTCATAATACCGTTTATGCCTCCTATGGCTATGCTCATTGCTCCTCTTCTCTCATCTACAAGCCAAACTTAGCTCAAATATCAGCCAGTGAAATCTCACATAATCAGTACAAGAAAAACAAAAAAGAAATAACAACAACAAAAAACAAACACCTTACCTTTTTCTGCCTTCCTTTGCAGTACTGTCAAATTTTAATGTACATTTAAATGTGCAATTTTAATTAATTAATTATTTTTTTATTTCAGCATATTATGGGGGTACAAACGTTAAGGTTACATACATTGCCCTTGCCTCCCCTCCCCCCTCGAGTCAGAGCTTCAAGCGTGTCCATCCCCCAGACGGTATGCATCTCACTCACTGTGTATGTAAATACCCATCCCCCCCTCCCCCCTCCCACCTGCCCAACACCCGATAAATGTTTTTGTGGGTTTTTTAAACATTTACCACTGTGGAGGGGAAGGGCATACCTCTAACCCTTGCTAGCTAGAGGCAAAGAAATAAAATGTAACCAATTTTAATTTTTAATGTACAATTTTTTTTTGGTGGAGGAAGGACAAAGAAGTCATGAAAGGTGGATTCCTGAATCCCTCCCCTGAGAATATGATTTAGTAGTTCTTAGACGAAACCTAGCACTATATTTTGTTCTGTTATTTTCTTTTAACAGTTGTCTAGGTGATTCTGATCAATGGTCTTCATTGAAAAACACAGTCCTCTAAAATATACTATGCTGTGTTCCTTGTTCTCTTTTCCTCAGTTTCCCAATCCACAAAATGGGAATAGAATTCCAGCTTGAAAAGTTGCAAAGGTCTCCTTTGTCCATTAGGCAATATCCCCACCCTCAGGAACAAAGGTTAGAATATGAGAATGATCTAATGATGCATGTTTGTTCTTTCCTCCATCACACCCTGTCCCTGCCCCAGCCTTCTGCTTTGCACAGAAAAATGACTTCCTTCACTTACTTTAGGAAATGATGCAGCAGTATCAGAAGCTCAAATTGAGCAGGAAGATGAAGAGGAAAAAAGATCAAAGTGAGGCTTCTGTGCAAGGTGTGTGAGAACATATATTCTATAGTTACACCAGGGTCTCATCCCATACCAACATCCACATCCCTTGCTCTGTATGAAACCTTGGCAAATGACTTATCCTCTGCCTGAGTTTCCTCATCTGAGAAATGCACAGTAGAATAGTACGTACTTTCAAAGAATGTTGTGAAAATTAAAGGCATACGGGGCTTACATAATACTTTTTCAGTGTTTATGTTAATTGGTCAGCTAAATTTACCTTACATCTTCACCATCATGGCAAATGACAGCCATCCACTATAGTTTCAGGAGATGAGGTTGCTACCAGCAGAGATATGCTATAGAAACTTGATCTCTTGTTAGCACATGGGCATCTAACTGCTAGCTTACATGATGAAATGTGCCCATTGATCATGATAACAGGATAGATCTAGCGCCACTGAAATACTTGGATAATAAACACAATGAAGCACTCAGCACATCTCCCTTCTCCTTAAGAGATAACAGATGGATTTTCCTAAAATCCTAATTTAGCCTAATTTCATTTGTTTAAATATTTCATCCAACAATACAGCATTCTGAGAGTAATTTTACATTGCTCTCCTTGGAATGACTATTCCCTTCTTACTATTAAAACCTCCCCTTATGGTGTTCTATTATTCTGAATAGTTTTAAATATTCACCTTTGATATATATAATAAATTTTCCTAAAATATTTTCCCCCAAGACATGGTTTGTGGCTTTGGAAGATAAACATTGCATGATAGGCTAAATAAACCAAATCAAAATAAGTGTCTAAGCTATTTTCACAGTAATTCCAATTTTTCTTAATTTCTCTGTAATCTTTTTATTTCTACTTTCTTTCATGATTTAGAACAGAGATGGCTTAATAATACATTTAAAGTTTTCAGATTAATGCCCACCCCAGCTTTTATTTTACAGTCCAAATATAAAGTTTTCTTTTGTATTCTTAGTCTTATTGGTTCTAAGAAAGTTATATACAGTTGTTTTCTTTTAATATCAGATTGGTAGCTAAGTTTATAGGTAAACCTTTCTTAAGACGTTTAATCTGAATTAAGCTTATTTCTTGACCAAAATACACCTATGTAGTTGGTTTAGTTTTCAATCTCTGACAAAAGCAAAAATGAAAGGTGAGACAATGCCCGTTGATTTGAACAGAATAATGTAGTTTGGGGGTTTTATATGTTTTAAACTCTGTAAGTTTCACAAACAAGCTGTGACTCATGATATAAGCATAAGCATACTCGATTCATTCTTTATGTGGAGCCAACTATAAACCTGAATCTGGGACATATTTGAGTCATTTCTCCAAAAACATTAAGAAAACCTTATCTGGTGGATTTTTGTGTGTTTGGTTATGTTTTGTAATTTAGTTAACTGTATTAATAATAATATAACTTGAAATAATTTTAACTAGTTATTTTACTGATATACATTAAGGGTTTATTTTGTTTATAACTATTTTAAAATAATTTTTAATATAATCATAAACTTATCGAAGGAGTTTTATAGTAACAATTTTTTCACAACACTAACATGGAACTGCTTGAATTCTCAACACTCCTCATCTTCTTCCTTATCTCTTGAGTTTTTCTTTAGGGATCTCTCAACAGATTCCTATTTCCCCTTTCATATGCAGGTGCTTCCAGATGCCACTGGAAATAAAACTTGAAGAGGAGCAGGATTTTTGCTGATTGTACCCTCTGCTATATCTGATGCGTGCTTGGCAAATAGTAAAGACTGACCATATTGAATGAACAGGCAAATAAATGTCTTCCCTGACTGGGTTTGGCAGCGTTGTCATTCTGGAGTTAAAATCTTATTGCCCTACAGTATTTGCTTTTGTTATCTGTCTTCCTTACTCATCTGGGATTCCTTGCAAATGAAGTTTTTTATTTCCAGATTGTCCTGAAATATTCCCTACACATTGGTTCTGCACATTCATATCTTTTTGCTCCTTAGAATCTGAGTAAATGATTGCTTATAATTGGGACAACCTTGGTGAATATTTAAGGAAAGGTATCCATCTCATAAGGAAAATAAAAGTGGCACCGATTAAAAGTAAGTTTAAATAGGTTGTATTCAATATATGAGAAAATTCTTTTTAAAAAAGTAATTGCTGCCTGCATATGTTAAAGAGAATGGTAAGCCTTTTATAAAGCCTTCAACCCATCTAAATAGAAACAGTTTTTCTCAGAGGCTTAAGGTGATAATGAGGCTTCAAATTGGTAAATTATAAAAATTTTGTGTCTATACCCTTCTAAATGGGGTTAACACTTCTAATAAACCAAAACCACCAAATGGTATGCTTTCTTTGCTTTTTTTTCTCTTAATGTTACAAAGGGAAATTATTGTCAAAGTAACACACTTGGGAAGAAAATAGTACTCTTAAACCAGGAAAAACACCAAAGTTTCCAAGGCTCTATCTCTGTCCAGAATAAGAGCTTGGTAGGGTTGAAACTACATATCAACTAGACTACATGTTCTTTGCTGCACTCAAGGTTGCTGTAAGAAACAGACATTTTTCAGTCTTGAATCTTCACTTTTTCACACAAATGTTCTTTTTATTAGGCTCCATAGAGGACATTTTCCTCACATCTCAGAACAAAGAAAAACTGTGTCCCTCCTGAATGCCTGTATTACTCTTCTTTATACAAACAAATTAGTCATTTTTCACAGAGATGTTTCCCCTGTTTTTACATTAGCTGCCACAGAAAATTGAATGAATTTTAGGGCATATATCCTACAATTACCATCTATATTCCTGTATATGGTATGTTGCCCAGGAGTCTTTCTGAACATTGGTTTTTATTTTCTAATTTATATTCCTTTTACTCTGACTCTCGGAGAATTTATCATCTCCCTTGAATTTATGTACAACTTTGAAGACCTTATCAGGTCCTTTACAAAAAGAAGATATTCAGATAATATGCAAAATATATTTTTCTTGGAAACAAAATGAACATCATATTCCTTTTCCTTGTTTTTATATAATAAAAATTGGTGAGACAGAGTATAAGCTGTCAAAGATAATATAGCACCATCTATAGCCAGACACATTCTTTATAGACTCCATAGTAGTTTCATTAAGTGCAGAGAAGCCATGCTCATTAAAAATTAATGGAACGACTAATATGTTATTTTAACAACCTGAGATTTTCCTTCCCTATAAAATACAGCTTAAATTATTACATGTAATTTATGTAAAAATTATTTTGATTTTGTATTAAAGATAAAATTTTAAATAGTACATGATTACCGTGTAAAATACATTAAACCCTAAAAAACAAAACAAAAAATTATCTATAATCTCACCTCCCAATTCACATATTGATAACATGAATTTTCCTTCTATATTTTTTGCATGTGTATGTGTATAGTGTATAAATATGTGAGCAATTATTTCCATATTGTTTATACTGTACTATATATGTGTGTGTGTATGCTTATTTAAATTATAATGTATAGTTCTTAAATTTTTGCATTTTTATTTACCCTTTTATACTAAATAGTTTCTCCTCATTTTAAAATATAAAAGACTGTTTTTAATGGCTGAATAGTGGATATAAGGTATAAGAATATCAGTATATAAGAATGTTTGCTTCTCACATATCTTGTAAAATTTCATTAATTTACCATAGAGTAAGTTATTTCATGTTGAGATGATGCATGCAAAGGCTTCTTAGGAAAGATATAATAAGTTCCAATGCCAAAATACCTAACAGAAACAGAGACCACTTATCATGTGATCAATAGACATAAATTGAACACAGTCACACAAGGAAGAAATGAACAAACCCAAGCACTTACTAATTTCGGTAGCAATGATTGTTATGTTGTGCCACATGCTTAATTCTCTGTCAAGTGGTGTTGCCAGTGTTATCTTCCCATCATCTGCATTAATGTTGAATTGCCTCTCCAGGTCAGTGTGCCGGTCGATGGAAAACCTACAAAACAGATACATCTGTAATCTACTTCAATGTTGATATGATCTATACTTTCCACAACAGATCTTCAATAATCCTGGGAGAGCCATAGCTGTGAAGTCAAATGAATTGGAAAACTCAGTGGCATAGCAATTTGTAAAACAAAATGACTCAATGAGGCACAAGAAACTTAATAATTATTGTCCAAGGAGCAATTAGCTACATGTGCAACATGTAGGTCATAAACTGTCATCCACTTCAATCGGTATCATCTTCAAAAGTGGATGCTGATGAAGAGTTAATTGGACAATCCATCAGATTCATTAGGCAGCTTATGATAATTAGCAGTTACCACAAAGTATCATATAAAACAATAGACTCAAGTCCAAAGGAGGATGGTGGTAGGCAACATGTTATTTAGGCCAATTCAAGAAAAAATGTATGTTGTGATAAACCTTTATTTGACTGTAATGCATTTACAGAGTTTCATTTTGGTGGTGGTGGTAGTTTATTTTATTTTCATGTTGAGTATGTATTCAGGTTTTCTATTAGTCTCAATCCATAGACATCAGATGATGGTTGATAGGAAATGTTTTCTTAATAAATTAGAATAGATATTTTAACTTATTTACAACACATCCTACTAAATTAAGAATTTTAAATGAAGAAGACCCCAAAGGCAATTACTGTAACAACAACAAAAAAAATAACGGGACATGATCAAATTAAAAAGCTTCTGCACAGCCAAGGAAACTATCATGAGAGCAAACAGACAGCCTATAGAATGAGAGAAAATATCCACATGCTACACATCTGATAAAGGGCTGATAATAAGAATCTATGTAGAACTCAGGAAAATCATCGAGAAAAAAAATCAAACAACTCCATTAAAAACTGGACAAAGGCCATGAACAGAAACTTTTCCAAAAGAAGATAGACTAATTAATGGGCAGCAAATATATGAAAAAATATTCAATATCTCTAATCATTAGGAAAATGTAAATCAAAACCATAAGGAGATATCACTTAACTCCAATGAGAATGACTTTTATCAAAAAGCCCCCAAACAGCAAATATTGGCATAGATGCAGAGAGATAGGAACACACATACACTGCTGGTGGGACTGCAAACTAGTACAACCTCTATTGAAAGTAATATGGAGATATCTCAAAAAGCTACAAGTAGGACTATCATTTGATCCAGCAATCCCACTGCTGGGTATCTACCCAAAGGAAAAAAAAATTCTATAAAAAAGACATCTGAAATCGAATGTTTATAGCAGCACAATTCACAATTGCAAAAATATGGAAACAACCCAGGTGCCCATGAATACATGAGTGGATTAATAAAATATGGTATATGTATATCGTTGAGTTCTACTCAGCCACAAAAAAACAATGGTGATCAAGTACCTCTTGTATTATCCTGGATAGAGCTGGAGCCCATTCTACTAAGTGAAGTATCCCAAGAATGGAAAAACAAGCACCACATGCACTCGCCATCAAATGGATATTAATTGATCAACACTTATGTAGTAGTAACATTCATTGGGTGTCAAGCAGGTGGCAGGGAGGAAGGGATGGGTATAGTCACACCTAATGGGTGTGGTGTGCACCATTTGGGGATGGACACACTTGCAGCTCTGACTTGGGTGGAACAAAGGCAATATAGGTAACATAAACATTTGTAACCCCATAATATGTGGAAATAATAAATAAACAAATAATAATAAATAATAAACAAATACATAAATGCTATGTAAAAACAAGAAAAAAAGAATTTCAAATGAACATGTTAGTAGTTCCTCCACTGAGAAAAAATCTTTCAGATAAGACAATAAGATGTTTAGTATCTTGAGAAAATGACTTTTCTCAGGAACATTAAGTGTCAAGGTAATATAGAAATTATTTTTTCGTGACATTTAATAGTATATTTTTTATATACCAAAATTTGTTTCCTGGCTATGGAATGGTGTATCCAATAAAGTTTATGTCTTGAGGAATACAAGGCAAACTTAAAAATATTTGTCCATAACTAAGTAGTGAATTATACTAAAAGAGGATAGAATGAGGGCCCAAAGAAGGGTGTGTGCAATTCCAGTCCAGGAGAAAGAACAGATGAAGGCTTTCATGGTTGAGGTGATCTCCTAGGAAGTGCATATGAAATCTCTCTATTTGCTGATACTCATTAACCTCAAATCTGGAACATGGTCCATGGCTAGTTGGTGCTGGGCATATTTTTTACACATATTCTTTATAAACATTTATTATATAATCAAGAATAAGACTGTAATACAAGAGAAAAATAGGCTCTCCATAATCTTCTGTCTATTCATTTATATTGTCAATATTTTAGATTTCATTACAAACATTACATATGTATATGAATGGACATGCATCTACCCATTTTTATCTATACCTATGAAGATAACCATACAGAGAGCTATTTAGATAGCTTCTCGTTAACTAGGTAGATAGGTGGGTATAGATAGATATACATATGGATAATTCCTCCCTCCTTTTAGCTATTTCTTTTTCATTAGACATAGTATGCATATCCTTTATACTGAATTCAAAGGGCATTGCAAAGAGGCATTTCTGTTAAATCCTCCCCACTAAAGACAACCATACTTAAAGACTTTGGAATAATATTTAAAAATACTTAATTATTGACAATGGTTTGCTGATAAATTCTTTTAAAAAAGCATGTAAAATGAAATTACAGCTCCTGATTCAGTAATGACCTAGCTACAAATAAAGCTAGGACACTGATTTCTATCTATGAACCAGACATTTACAAACCACCTCCATCCCCACTCCCAGCATGCTTGGTGAAATTCAGAAAATATTTAAGAACTCAGAGGCAGATATGGATTAACAACACTCTCAACAAAATCCTGAGCATGTGGAAATGTTTATTGTAAAGTATCTGAATCTGTTGTATTACAGAAATACCAAAAGCTATTTTCTGGGGGAACAATGATGGTTGATTAGACCAATGATATTCCAACTTTAACTGTAAAATAACTGAACAGACATGTGTTTTGCTTCAGATATTGTGTACACTCTGACTCTTAAAAGAGCTAAGAAATATCTAGAGGATTAATTATCACTTTCTGCATCATATTCATAAATAAATTTTTAGGCATATCTGATTCTGGTAATTTTATTATCTCACTGCTGATATTTCTCACATGCATGCATCAATCAATTTCCCAGAGGTCACAGTAAACAAGAATCAGTTTAATCACTTATACTCATGAATCCCAAATCAGAAACACACTCCATGGCTGTTTGGTTGCTGTTCAGTAATTGCCTAGAACTTCTAGCCTAGATGAAGCAGTAAGAACAATGACTAGGATATATAAAAGTTGGCATTTAAAAAAATGCTGTTTGTTTAATCCCTTATTCAAATGTGTGTCATGCAGATGTCAAATTTGGAGCAAGTTATATCTCTGTTATTTTACATTTTGTTGTTTCTGGAATAATTAGTAAATTCACTGAGCTTTGATTTCTTTGCTGGTGAAATATGAAGTATTCATATCCTAGGAATGGTTGTGAAGATTAAAAATAAAGCATAAATCATCAGCCTCTGACACACAATAGGTATTAAAGATAGGTTCTTCTTCATCATCATCATCATTCTCATCTCTCCTTAAATGAAATCTTAATAAACTCCTCTATTTAGAGGGCAATGGAGAATGCCCCTTCCCAAATAATTTATAAATGGCAGAAAACTAAAAACAAAACATTTGGGTGTTATTTATCTTCCACAACTCTAACAAAGGCATGGATAATTTTCTCATTTTTTAAAGTTCCAGTTCATGACAGACTTTACGGGGTGAGTCATAAGAATTTATAAAGCAGGCTATAAATACAGCCCTTTAGTAAGATCAGAGGTAAGAATGTCATAATATTACAAGATTACACAATGGAAGGAGCTTGATGGGAAAGAAATAACTTACTTTAAAATTCAGTTTAAAGTCTACTTCAACTATTTTGAAAAGCTCCTTGCTGCCTCTATAGAAATTTCACACATTTTCTTTCTTAGTAGACTGTATGATAACAGCTCCCAAGAATGGCTAAACAACGCAAAACTTCTGACTCAACATTATGGTCAACAAGCATGCATTAAACACCAAAATTGTACCAAGCACAGTGCTAGTTGCCTTTTCCTTCTTCCATCCTTCTTCCCTTGGTTTCTTACATAATAAATAAAAGAAAAAGAAAACTCCTAGAGACTAGGACATTTTAGGAATACTAATGTATGATTCATCCTGAAGTCCATGTGTAAACCAAGCACAAAAAAAGCTTACTTTATTCATGCATAAAATGGGGATAGTGACAGTATCTGATCAACAGGATTGTTTTGAGGATCAATGAGATGATACATCTGGGACACTTCACCAGTATATCTGTGTGATCACTCTGTATCACCCGGTGCCAAGGCCTCTTATACCATTTGTATGGCAGTGGCGCCCTTGAATGTTTACACATGCATTCAATTTTCTGAACTGAATACTAGGACACAGAGTTCTATTATTTAAATACTTGAATTTCTCCCCTTTAAAATTCACATGCTGAAATCTCAACTCACAAGGTGACAGCATTAGAAGGTGGAGCCTGTGGGAGTTTTATCAGGACATGAGGGTGCTGCCCTCATAAATGGGATTAGTTCCCTTATGAAAGAGACCTCAGAGAGCTAGCAAGTCCCCTTCAACCATTTGAGGACACAATAAGAAGTTGATAGTCTTCTACCTGAAAGAGGGCCCTTACTAGAGCCTGACCACACTGGCATGTTGATCTTGGACTTCCCAACCTTCAAAACTTCAAGAAGTATATTTGTATCCTTTGTAAGCCATTTATTCTATGGTATATTGCATAGCAGCCCAAATGGACTAAGAAACAGAGTATAACAAATAAAAGATGATTTATTGAATAAATTGATAAGAATTCATTCCTCTCCTGAAAGCCAGGGAATAAAAACTTCCATCTCCCATCTTCTTTATAGACCTCTGGAT